ACCACCTCTACACGTTCAGTACCTATTTCTACCTTCAAATCATACTGATTATATTCATGCTGGATCCTGTTACCTCCAATCATAATGAATTTCGTTTTTCCAACATTTAGCTTAAGCATATTGTCATTGAACCACAACTGAATTTGCTGAAGATCCAGATTTATTGCATGCATCAGGCTAACTAGATCTTTTGAAAAAAAATAGATCAATGTATCATCCGCAAATAAGTGTATAGAGCAATTTTGAATCACCGAATCAATATCGTTAATATACAACAAGAACAGTAATGGACCAAGAGTACTGCCTTGGGGGACGCCAAAATTGTTTGTTTTTGTTGTTGATATATTGTTCCCAATTTTTGTTATTTGTTTTCTGTTATCCAGGTAATCCACAAACCAATCAAGTACATCATTCAAAATTCCATAATTTTGCATTTTTTTTATCAATTTACTTCTATCTAGAGTTTCAAACGCGCGCTGTAAGTCCAAAAACACAGCTCCCACAGCATAGTCATCATCAAGAAGATTTTTCCAATCATACAGAATATTTTGTACTGCTGTCTCACAACTATGTCCCTTTCTAAACCCCGACTGACTTGGAATAAGGATGTTATTTGAATTAATATACTCCATCAATTGACTGTATACCACCCTCTCTAGAATCTTTTCAACTGTCGCCAGAAGATTTATTGGTCTAAAATCACCTGCGTTTATAGAACCCCTGATTTTTTGAACTGGAATTATTGTTGATGTTTTTAACAGACATGGTAATTTACCAGTTTCTAAGGAACTGTTTATTAGATTCAAAAAGGGTTGTTTTATGTTGTGGTATGTTTTTTTAATAAACTCTGCCGTTATATCGTCTGGACTTCCTTTATTGGGCAAGGAGGTAATGGTGCTGTTCAACTCATTAAAATCTATCAACCGAAAAGAGGTGAAACAGCCATCACGTTTAGGGTTGTGCCGTTTGAAATTTTCAAATGAAATTTCCATGTTTGAAATATTCAAATGTGAAATTTTCAATATTCGAAAAAAGTGAAATTTCACAGAAATTGCAGGTGAAATTTTCAATTTGAAATTTCCCAAACTTTATAGAAAATTTCATATGGTTCACTGGAAATTTCATAAATTTCATGGAAATTTTCAAAAACTGTATATGTTTCTTGGGAAATACAAGGAGTTATTGACAATAATGGCAAGGCTGCTCACTGGTTGTGTTGCTTTGGATTGTTTAAATCTTAATTCTTAGCAAATTTCTTAGCTTAGATTGGAATTTATTTGCCACGATTCGATTTAACATGACACGACACGACAAAACAAGGTTCCAAGGCAGATGAATTACATGTTAGACGCCTAAACTTATGATAAATACAGTTAAACCAAAAAAAACAATATTTGGAGCTACTTCACTCAACTGACTAGGAAATTAATAACAGAAAGGTAGAATGCTTTTTCTATGAGCGTTTGGAAAATGGCTCTTTCCGCACTATTTGCTGTGCGGGCAGCTTTTCTTATTTTGTGTGTTGTTTTCTTCCCAATTCATTTATAAATTTACTTTCTGCACAGTCGCATTTTATTTAAATTACATTTTTCTTAACATCACCTTTAGTACACTTGTAGAAAAAATATAGTTCCTGAAGCTTGCGGGAAGAAATTTCCGGCACTCGGGCGCTTTCGCACACTTGTGTCGGAAATGTCTCCTCCCGCACTTGTTAGGAAAATAGCTATTAATTATTTACATTTGACACTTAAGACAGAATACCAATGCAATGTCTGAAGAATGTCTAACCATTTTACCTACTTACTTAATTTTGTGTGTACCTACCCTACCACCACCTCATAAACACCATATACTAAGCTAATACCTCAGCTAATACACAAAGTCACGTAGTCATGTCACATCACAATGGGCTCTTTCACTAAAATTTAAATACGTAATTTAAGTATAAAATCCCAAAGGAGGGACTATTTTAGGCATATATACCAAAAAAAAATGTTCTACAAGGTTAAATAAGTTTTTTACAGGCATTTGAAATTGGCGAAATTCAAATTGATTTAAAACGCGCCGATTTGCTGACGTCACATAAATATTTTTCATTTCGCTTGTTGTTGCAAGGAGCTGACCGCCTCGGCTGTGTAAAAGCAGGTAAAGGCTCGAATGCGCTGTTGTCGGTGGTGACTAAATGTAGTGCAACGTAAAAAAAATAAATAAAACTAAACATAAAAAATTGTATTAAATTGTGTTTAAGCATAATTTCAATAAAAAAGTTATAAAATTTTGAATCCATAACTAATTAATTTAACTACTTTTCATGATATTTTGGGAACATTTCAGAATTAAATCTATTACAAATTTTCAATGTTGTCAATTAGTGGCAACACGGTCAAATTGCGAGCTGCGACGTCATAGAAATAAATTCTGGGTTTTTATTTGGAGGCATTTCTTTTTTTTCTGTTTTCTCAAGAAGGACTATGAATTTTTCAAAAGTAAAAATACAGAAAATTCTGTTTTTAATTGCTTTATCCAAATATGCCAATTTCAAAAATTAGTGAAAGAGCCCATTGAATTTTATAGAAAATTTCATGGAATTTCATGAAATTTCATTGAAAATTTCATTGAAAATTTCATAGTGAATCATTTGAGTTAGAAAATTTCATGATATTTTGGAAATTTTCAGAAAAATTCAGAAATTTTGAAAATTTCACGGAAATTTTAAAAATTTCAATATTTCCATGAAAATTTCAGAGTGAAATTTCCAGATGATGTGAAAAGTGAAATTTACCCAACCCTAATCACGTTGAGACATTGGAGTGGGGCTAGGGTTATCATCACCCTTGTCTATATGTGAAATTATGGTTTCTATGCTGTTGACAAAATATATATTAAGATTTTCGGCTATATCTGTGGGGTCGGTGATGATTTCATTATTGATTTCTACTTTTCCTATGTTTTTTTTATTTTTATCTATAATAAGTTGACCCACTTGTAATAGATGTAAGTTTGTATCTGTGATTGGCCTCTTGGCTGTTGATACTTGATGAAAAAAATAAATAAATCAGATCATGCAAAACTCACGATGTGCTTTTAATGAAGAAAATTTAAGATTTTACAATTTTGTTTTTAATAAGTTCCTTTCATTTTTTTATCTCTAGTAAATGCGACCTTTGAGAAAAGAATGACAAGTTATTTTCTTCAATTCATAATTTTGGTAGTGTTCAAAAATCACAAATAGCCAAAAGATGATTCATATAATTTTAGTTATTTACCATTTACCTAACAAGTGCGGAAAGTAATACTTTACCGCAGACAGGTTGTTAAGGGTGGTAAAGGCACTTTCCGCATGTTAGGTACTGACTATAAATACCAAAGACTAGTGTGCGGTAAAGTAACTTTGGGAGATGCAGATGTACAGTAGGTGTATAAATATCATACATTCATGTATATGCAGTCCATACATTCTCATGCAGTCAATGGAATACATGGACTCATGCAGTCATAATACATGACTTGGAAGAAAAAAGCAATGAGCTATATTCTCGAGCAGAGGATTGGTTTGAGAAAAATGAACTAGTTATAAACGAGAGCAAGACAAGCATTGTGATTTTTCGCACTAATAAACTAAAAGAGAAACCATCAGCAATAAGTATCCATAATCAGGAAATTGACATATCAGAGCACACTAAATTTTTAGGTGTTATAATTGATGAATTTCTAAAATGGTCAACACACATTGAAAGTTTAGTGAAAAAATTGAACGGTGTTTGTTTTGCACTCAGAGTACTAAACAGATATGTAGAAGACAAAGTTAAAAAAATCCTTTACTATGCAAATTTTGAGTCTCGGATGAGGTACGGTATCATTTTCTGGGGAGTCAGTTCTTCAACACAATCAGTCTTTGTAGTCCAAAAGCGAACTATCAGGTTATTGCTTAACATGAGCTTCAGAGACTCCTGTAGAGGCAAATTCAGGGAGTTGGGTATTTTAACAGTTTATGGTCTATACATACACGAGTGCCTCTTATATTTGCATAAAAACAAAAATGAATTTTTAATACATAACACTAACACCACATACAATACAAGGACCACAGATATTTATTATCCTATTCATAGATTAACTTTAAGTGAAAAAAATCCATCTTATAACTGTATTAAAATATTTAATAAATTACCAAACGACTTTAAAATAATAGAAAACTACAAGGAATTTAAAAATAAAACCAAGAAATTGTTAATAGACATAGAACCATATTGTGTGAAAGATTACTTGGATATGTAATTTAAGTATATTGTTTTGTGACGCCATTTCATTTCATGTTATTTTGTAATGCTGTAATATGTATTGTAAAAACTTAATTTGAAATAAAGCTACTATTCTATTCTAAAAAAGCTACTATTCTATTCTATTCTATTCTACAGTCACTTGCAATCATTATAAACTCTGTGCAGTCTGAGGTGCAGTCACATGCAGTAGCGTACATTCCATATACACTTGCGGAAAATCGTAAGCAGTCGCTGCAAGTGGAGCCTGCAATCCTGTTAGAAATTGCTCAAAAATCAATGCAGTCAACAATCATCTTTGATGCAATCAATGCAGTCAAATACAGTAGGTGTACAAAATTTAGTGGGTGAAACACCTCTCGGGTAAAGTAAGTTTACCGCACTTATTTGCAAGTGTAAAGTAGCACTTTACCGCACACAAATGCCTTTTTTTGGAGATGCAGATGCTCATTGGTTGGGGTTCTTTTTTTCAAATATTCTCGCATACACATACGAAATTTGATACAAGTTCAAATGCTCTCCATTTAATTTACATTGCTGTTAGTCAAATTTCGTGTTGGAAATGTACCTACTTAAATGGTTTCGAGAATCGGACCCCTTGTCATTGGTAAAGGAATAACTTTTCGCATTTGTTAAGTGAATAACTATAAACACCACCTTACTTATAGGTGCTTATAGGTCACAAATTGACTTTGGTAAAGTAAACAGATGAGTTCTTACCTTCTGGATAAGGCATAGTAGCCCATTTCTGCTCAGGACTAGTAGATGTGGCGTCATTAAACGACGCTGCATCTTCTAGTAGTCTCTTCAAAGGAGATTCTTGCTTATCTTTTTTACTGGAATCTTCTTCACTGCAAAGTTTGTTCAGTAGAAACAACTGTCTTTTGCATAAAATTGTTTCCGTGTTATTTTTGGCCAAGATTGTGTGCCTTACAATTGATTTCAAAAGATGGGGCATCTCTGCGGTACTTCTAATGTTAATTTGTAAAAACCTTTAAGCCTGTGTCTGTGTTGTGTGTGTTGTAAAATTATAAAAAAGAAAAAAATGCAAACTTAATTTAAGTTTAGAGTAGTTTTAAAAAAAGTAAGGTTATGCTGCTGCTCTGCTGTTTTCGTTCTTCTTTGAGTTTTGCTCTAATTGCTCCCACTCGAGATTCGACTAACCAGAAACTACTCTAAAGCAGGACGCGCACTGAATCGACTCGGACCGGTCGACTCGGCGAAGAGCATTCGATAGTTTTTGATACTCATGCAATTAAATGAGACTCGAGTCGACGAGTCCTATGTCGTGCGCGGAGTCTCATTTAATTGCATGAGTATAAAAGGCTGTTCATTTGTACTTGCTCTACCTGCTCGAGAAATCAAAAAGATCTGCTAGGAGCTGCTATTTATGAGCTTTTATATGGGACAAGTGAACGCCGATTTGCTGTTGAGATCTGCTTGAAGCAAGAAGAGCAGTACAAATGAACACCCTATAAAACGAAGGTCGAATTATTTTGTTCGCGGATCACTACTCACTAGACACTTTGGTTAAGATACGGAACGCCGCCTAGTTATAAACAGTTCCTTGTTCGCAGTTCAACTAGCTCCGACTCGATTCTGAACTAGTTTTACCGGTTCTAAAGATTTACCAAGAACCTCATGTCCGAGAGAAGTCATGACGCTTCCGAGTTTTTGTTTCCTGTTCCAAAAACGTTCGCGGTAAGGTAAACTAAAATCCTGAACTGGTTTCTAATAAGTAATTAAATAGACAAAAGCAAACTGGCGGCTAAACAAATCCCATCAGTTCGAGAGGACATACAAGTTTTTGTTTCTTGTTCCGGAATAGTTCGCGGTAAAATAAAATCCTTCTGTTTGACTAGGACTACTAGGAGGCGTGAGCTACGGAAGCTTGAATAATGCGAACTGGTTCAGAGTCAGTTCGGAGTGTTTTCCGCGAATAAAGTTGTTAGTTTCGTTCGCAAACCTGGTTCCGGTTCTGGATCGATTCCGCGACCATTAGTACAGTAAATAGAAACTATTTTGCTGCGAAATAAAATCCATGATTAGTAATAGTATATCCTATTCACAATCTGTAGTCCAAAGGTACAGGTAAATTTATCACCTTTCCCTGTCAAATGGCATTGAAAGGTGATACATTTTACCGTTGGGACTACAGATTGTGAATAGACAATAGTTGTGTAGTAGAGTAGACTACTTAAGGTTCAAGACGAGTACTCGTGACATCTCTGCTCGTGACCAAGCAAATCGTACTCTGAGCAGCATTAGTGAGTTTTCGCGCTGGTTCCAGGTCCGATGATGGCACGAACTACAGTGACTTTATTACCACAGTGGCGACAATTGCGGTCTCATTTTTGATTGGTTCAAAAATCCCATATGTTTATATTGAAAATGCCGCCATCTTGTTCCCATCCTCTTGTTACTTTTAAATATGATTATATAGGATTTAGGTGAACATCCATCATAAAACATGGAAAACAACGTATTTGATGAACCTAATAATGGTCATCAAATATGCCGATTTTAATTTTTTATGAAAGATGTCTATTTAAATCTTATATATTAATATTTGAAAGTAACAAGAGGTTGGGAACAAGATGGCGGCGGGAACTCTATTGTCGCCACTGTATGTAAAGGTTTATTTAGCCACTGTAGCACGAACGAACGCGTGTTTGTCAGCGAATGTCAACTGTCATTTCAATTATTTTCGACCACACATGTCAAGAACGAAAAGATGCTGTCAAAAAGTAAATAAACTGTCAAAAAAGTATTTTTTTTTGCTACGTGTAGACTGTAGACATGTTAAAAATTCGAATATTTCGGTGATTTGCTGGCGATTTATACAAAACTCGAGTCAAACCTAACCGGAATATACGTTTAGTTTTAGTTGGTCGTTGGAAAAATGCACACATATACAAGAGTGGTACTTTTATGGCTCATCGTCGGGGCGTTTTCAGATGAACATAATCACATAGTAAGTAGCACAGGAAAGTCTTTGATTGTTTTTATGTTTATGTGGGAGACATTTTTATATTCTTGCCATTATATAGAAAGAAACCTGATGTGATGAATGGGACAGGTAGGGTAAGCAGAAGCAACAACCTCAAGACCTTTCAACAACCCATCAACAATTCATTTTAAGTCCCTATCGTAGTTGTCCTTGTCTATTTTCCAATAACTCTTCCTTTTAATTTTGTTTTCCTGCTTCTAGTCCTATAAGGCCCGATACTTTTGCTCCCGATTAACGAATTTGATACATCGTCAAAGTTTTGCATGTGCCAAGAGTATGATGTGGTTAGAGCACATTCAAACTCCTGATTATTTTCAACGGCTGTCGAATTAGAGCAAAAGTACCGGCACTAAATAAACGATTTATTTATTAGCCAGTTTATTGATCATTTTGGCTTTCCTATATGGCATACCCATTCAATGAAATGTAAAACTATTCAAGAGCAAAATCATTGCCTACCTACAGAAAAGAATATTTTGAGTAGCTTCTAATTGAGGTATTACCTCGGATATTACTTATTAAGTAGAAAGTAGAATCCATCAGGCTATTGGCAAAGTAGCATTCAAAAAAAAGTATAAACATGAAGAAAATCAAATAATTTTACAGATATTTTTTTTTTTAGTATGAAGATAATGAAGAAGTAGTATTATGGATGAACACTGTAGGACCCTACCACAACAGGCAAGAAACTTATGGATATTTTTCGTTGCCATTTTGTGTGGGTTCAAAAGAAACCATCAGTCATTACCATGAGACTCTCAGCGAGGCTTTGCAAGGAGTCGAATTGGAATTCAGTGGCATTGAACTTGAATTTAAAAGTAAGTCTCTTGTTGTTGTTTTTTCGATTGGTTTTTTAATGCATCCAAAAGATAACAAGATTGTAAACAAATTTATATTGATCTGAATGTGAAAACTGCTCAAGTCTTTACTCAAGTATTTGTTTCTGTGAAGATGAAGATAATTTTCAATAAATACATTATTTTTAATTTTTTAAATATTGGCTACTTTTTAGTTTAAACTCACCATGATAATAACCAAGGTCCAAAAAATTAAATAATTTTTAAAGAATGCATGATTTTAGTATAAGTAGGTTTGGTTATTGAGGTGAAACCTTGGCCCCAAATTGACTTGATACCATTTTTTATGTTACTCCCGAGGTTGCTTCAATTTTTATTGAAACCTTGTTATCCAAATGATTATACGAAAGCCATTGTGCATTCTGCTTGAGCTGACTGATCCATATTGTCTGTTGGCTGAGTAGGCTGTTCTCAGGAAAGCCATGACAATATGACAAGGGTCTTCCATAAAGAAAATCCGCTACTGTGATCTTTCCAGAGATGCTTCATAAAATCTCATTAAATAGAGTAGAGTTTTTTTATCTGTCTAGTAGGGTATGATCAAAAACCCGAGCAAAAACCCTGTTTTAAATGAGTTAAAATTCGAGTTTAACAATCAAATAAGTATTAACCTAAATTGGAGCTAATAATCCAAGGGGTAAACAGGCATTGTAAACAGGTAAACCTACTGAAATTATGTAATCTCCATTGTCCAATGGCCAATATGTATTTTTTTTCTCAGTAGGCGATTCCCTAATTTGGCCCCGGTATCCTGAATGTAGCATTCAATTCCATTCAAGTCTAAAGCCAGTCCCAGACGCTACGTGTATTTGGCGAATATTCATTCATATTCATCATTCACACAAATCTTTGCTTGGTCTCCCACACCGCGTGGTGCTATGGCGAAGGTTTGGCTTGACAATTGTTCGGCGAAGTTTCCAAGCAGAAGGCCGTCGATTTTCAGTGGCGTTTCATGCATGACGTTTGTTCAGTTGATGAAGAGCAGATTGCTGCCGCCGCTACTTGTGCCATTTTCAGCAGATCTGAGCTGTTTTCTCGCGTTCACTTTTTTGAAACTGGTTTAAAATAGGTTGACGTCACACAAAATTAGTTCAAACCACTTCGAAATACAATCCAATCCACTTTTTTAAACCATTTTCTCGCGCCGAGAACTTATAGTCTAAGATCCGAATAGGAAAGGATCTGCACCCATCTGTTTATTGGGTAAAAATTATTTTATATCAAAGTTAGTATGTTAAAAAATATGTCAGGTATGGGTTGGCTAAAAAATTCCTGGCCAGGCTATTATTAATAAATAATTCAAAAATTATAATTGTTAAAGGCATTGCACTCATTTGTTTAAGGAACAAATTCCATACTAATCGAAAGTATAGGGCCTAAAGAATATAAAAACGTTGGATTGTCTATTTTTTTCCTGGCATAACTATCGGGTTGGCAGATTTGAACAGGTGAGTCGATACTAATAATTCACACCCATCTGTTTAATGAATAAATCTTATATCAAAAAAAAAGTTATTTTATTGCGAACACGATGATATAGGGTTGTTTACGAAAAATCTGGCCTAAATGACGGATGCCGAGCTTTGAAAAGCGAAATTTTGGTGCGAATGGAAATATGCGACAGAGGGGTGTAAGATTTATACATTAAACAGATGGGTGTAAATTACTAGTATCGACTCACCTGTTCAAACCTGCCAGCCCAATAGTTATGCCAGAAAAAAAATACACTCCAACGTTTCTATATTCTTTAGGCCCTATACTTTCGATTGGTATGAAATTTGTTCGTTAAACAAATGAGTGCAATGCCTTTGACAATTATAATTTTTGAATTATTTATTAATAATAGTCTGGCCAGGAATTTTTTAGCCAACCCACACCTGATATATTTTTTAACATACTAACTTTGATATAAAATAATTTTCACCCAATAAACAGATGGGTGCAGATCCTTTCCTATTCGGATCTTCCACTATTATGACATCATTGTGAAACTGTTTTAAACCAGTTTTGAAAAATGTTTCAAAACTTTGTGATACGAGAAAACACCTCTGATATCTTTTAAATCAAATCAAATTAAAAATAACTAAAAATGCAAAAATCACCTTGCGGTACTGCACACCGCTATAAACTGACAAAACACTACGCATATACCCGCTTTTCAATTCCGAAGCGTCTTGGAGCAGCGCGAAGTCACATGTAGTAGACTTCGCCTTCCTTTGCTTCGTGCCAGTTTACCGACAATTGGCGGGAAAATGACGAAGAACGAATATTCGCCAAAGTTACCTTCCCACACGCTTCGCGAATAAGCCCCAATACCGAATGTTCACCGAATGCACGTAGCGTCTGGGACCGGCTTAAGTGGATCCAATTCCAAAAGGTTCTTCCTTGACATATTGAAATTTTCTTACATATTCTCCATTTAGATAAAAATTAAAATCATCATTCTTTCAAATTTTTTAATTTGGTAATGTAAATCATGAAGTAAAATTTTGGGAGAATTTCGTTAATATAAATGAATGTCCAATGCAACATCCAACACTCAACTGGATTTTGTAAAATTGAAAAAAAAATTGTAATTAGTGTCTTTTTTGAAAGGAATGTGAACCTCAGCGATGTCATGACGTAATTACCCTACAATTTCATTTAAATTTCTCACAAACTCCGCATAAATTCTTCTAAAGTCCCCATAAATTCTTCCTGATACCCCATAAATTCCCTATACTTAAATTCCCCTAAATTTTCATAAGTCTCTCCAATTTCCAATAAGTTCCTTCAAATTCCCCACAAATTCCTCCTCTAAATTTCCAAAATTTTTGGCAAATAATTCCTAGGTGGTTTGCCCCTTTTAATAATCATATAGATAATATTATAGATCTAGTAGAAGTGTTTTTATTTTGTAACTGTATTTAAATTAGAAAATGATCTAAATTTGTATCTAAATGTGTTTCGTTTTGGTTTTTTCTGTTGATATATCAAAAAAAAACTGGAATTTGTCCATCTTAATATCAATCATAATCTATTTGAAGTAGTCCTAAACTTTGTGTTTAACAAAACAACATAAATTGGTCACAAGGATCCATTTGCAGACATAGTTTCCAGTCAAATTTGAGTTTAAAACCAGAAAATAGTCTGAATTTGTTTGTTCTATTGAAATATCAAGAGAAACCAAGAAAGAAACTGTTCCAAATGTGTGTAAAATTGCATTTCAACAACTTTTTCCCTGATTTCCTCGCTGATTTCTCACTTCTTTTACATCACGGAGAAGTATTTTTGCTTCAAAATTGCATTTAAAGCCACTAAAGAAAATGGTAAAAATTTTGTTCTAAATGTGTCCTTTTGCCTTTTTTTCATTGAAATATTCTACAGTCCTAAATTGCTGTAAAATTGCATTTCAGCAACACTTTCCGCGATTTGTTACTTCCTATCAATGAAAATCTATCCAAAGTAGTCTAAAACTTTGTGTTTAACAATAAAACAATGTAAATAGGTTATAAACATCCATTTGCAGACATATTTTTGTGATTACTTCTTATCAATCAAAATCTATTCAAATGAGTTTTAAACTTCGCGTTTAACAATTATTGAACAACATAAATTGGTCATAAAGATCTATTTTCACTTTTCAGACATAGTTTTGGTCAGATTGCGTTTAAAACTAGAAAATGCTCAAAATTTGTACATTGACTTTTCCTATTGAAATATAGACTCCAGTCACAAATTTCCCTATCGGCAGTTTTCAAAAGAATTTGTATAATAAACAATTGGCCTTTTGACAGAAGCCCAATATATAGTTTTTGAAGAAAAAAAAAAGTATTGTACTTAACATTGAATATTTATATACCCATTGTATACCTCTGTAGTGTGAAATAAATAAATAAATATAGTCTTTAGGCCGGGATAGACGTTCTGTCATGTCCATCAAATTGCTTGCGCAAACTTGAATTGAACGGCAACACTGATTCCCCGTTTGACCCCTCCAGCTGCGTGGTGGATACATTTTATATTTTGGAAACAAATAAATTTATTTCCAACTCCATTTTTTGCCCACTAATGATTTTTCTAAAATGTGAAATTACCCTTCTTTGAAAGGTTTTTTATTTCTCTTTAGAGGCCTGACCATTTCATTTCAGTTACAATATAGAACATGATCACTTGACTCTTCATCTAGAAAACACAAAAAAAAAAAATTGCCTGGCAAAGTTGAAAAACATTCAGCTACTATTATAGGGGGTGTGAACCTAAAAAACGACTTAAGCTGCTTAAATCAAAAAAAAAAAAAATCTAAGATCTCTCGTGAAAACCGCAGTCCTATATTCAAAATAGTCTCCGAGAAAATTCCTTGTGAAGGTAAATTATGCAGGAACTCTTGATGTCACAACCGCCGAAATCGCAGTCTTCTGTTCGTTCAGTCGTCAAGGAACCGTACCTTATACTTTGAGTGGTTGTAATTCGCTCTAGGAGATAATTTTCTTTTGGTTTGGAAAATTCTTACACTTGTTAATACTGTCCCTGATAATCCAGTGTGACGTCACAAACACCTAAGTAGTTTTAACTTTAAACCACCCTAACTCGAAAAGGAACCATCGTAGCAGGATGCGGCTTAAATATTTATTCTTAGATTTTTTTGCACTACAACTTTCATTTTTGGGTCACACCCCCTTTAAAGCTCCATTAGGCTGAATTCACTTGAAACTTGAAACCACGTTGTGCAGTTGACACCCAACAGCAAATCCTAATTCAATCATTTCTCGCCTGTATTCGGTAGTGACTCACTGCTACACTTACCTTTAATAGTTTAATCATGTAACAAATGAGATCCTAACCTATTATGGCGAACGGCTTCCCCGGGGGACACCAATTACCAGTGAAACGCAACTTCAATTATTAAGAGGATGTTATTGGCTCATATTACTGACCTCTAACGACTACTATACTATAACTATAGACATACTATATTGCAACACAACTATGCCCAGGGCCTGTTCTGCCAGGCCAGTGCTGCCGTTTACGCGGTAGATCTACCGTTTTCATCGTCAAAATTGCATTGGGGATTCACTCACTAGGTTTGTTCCAACATATCAAAAAACCGTACAATGTACCGTCACGATTCTGCGCAAAGCCTTAGTATTTGTGCGTAGAATCTGAAATTTGTATACAGGGTGATTTCGAAACTGACATGTTGGAACAAACATATTATTTTTTTAGTAATCCTCCACAATAGTCTACTGCCGAATGACTAGGGTTGCCAGATTTACGAGAGGGAAAAGCGTGGCAACGTCGGGGTGAGGGGAGGGCATGACATTTATGATTTTGGCAATACAATGTAAAATTGTCAATGCTTTCAAATCTTTTACGTAAAATAGTTACTGAATGTTTTAGTCCGGGAGGCAGTGAATTTTTTTTGCACTTATTTTCCCAGTTGGTGTATATTAAATAGTTTGTTCTCTTGGTGATACAAAACAAGAATATTTGAGTTTCGCAAAAATTTTCCGATGGGTTCACTAGATCAATGAAAAATACAAGTACACTTATTTTCCAAGTCATAAATATTCCACATCCACTACAATAGAACATAAAGTATATGAACATAGCAATTTGGCTCATCTCAGATAGTGGAAAGTTAGTCTGGCTGAAGTTTTTCAGATCTTCAATTTTTCACTTGCCAGACATATTATCCATACTCACAGATAAGCCGGACTATTTTTATACGTAACTTCAGTATACTTCTGATTAGTTGACTTAGTTTTATCACTGGAAAAAAAAGGGCTGTGCATTCGTAAGCTCTAACGCATTTTGCGCCTCAACCCATCGGAAAACCCCCCCTAAAAATATATGACTTTTGCTTAGAATTACCAACCCTACAATTCTATCCATGTTTCGTGACTGGGAAAATGAGTACCGAAAATCTTCACTGCCTCCTATATATGACTTTTGCTTAGAATTACCAACCCTACAATTCTATCCATGTTTCGTGACTGGGAAAATGAGTACCGAAAATCTTCACTGCCTCCTAGACTATTTGACCTGGGCTGGAATCACGACAAGTAGAATTCTACTTCCATGACGTCACCCGCGATTTATTTATCGCGTACAGTACAGGCGATGATGACGGTTGCTAGGCAAGCAACCCTACGAATGACGAATATAAAAATAGATAAGAAAAGAAAGGCACAATAGCTTGTTTACATTACCCTGGTCCTTTTTTTTCTTACTTCAGTGATGAATCATCAATTAGGTATAATAGCTGCTTTTTTTCTGCACATTGTCTTGCCTTAGCTAGCTTTGAAAATCTTAGCTGAGCTAAGTTGTAGTTCAAACGTACACATTAGATGGATGGAGGATCTAATCTTTAATAAAGATAACTGTAAGTAAGAAATTGAACTAAGGATGGAATCCGGCATCGTTGGCGTAGGCAAGGGGGGAGGTAATTTCGACTGACCTAAACTTACCTAAGATGTTAGAAAAAACAGTCCTTTATTTCAGAACAACTTAGGTTAGCTAAGATAGGTGTTAGAAAAAAAGCAGCTAATAATAGTGAATAGCTTTGTTCCAACCCAGCAGGAATTCTGCGGAAAACCGAAATTCTTATACAAAGTGGTTCCGAAACCTTTCTGGGACTCTTTTTTGATGGTTTGGAAAAAACCTATTATTGAGATAAACAAATTTTTCCATCTTTACTTGCTGAAATGCACAAAACACCAATTTCAGATTGTTTCGAAAATGTGATGAAAAACCTTTTGAGAATGATCATTATTCGAGTGGCAAAAATTACCAAAAGTACTTCGTGCAAAACAATTATCATTTTTTTTATGTAGTTACCCACTGCATACTTATTATACAGGGTGAGTTACTAGGAGCGCGGTGGTCCATATCTCCTATGCTAACGGAAATCGGAGAAAAAACTAAATACCAAACTTGTAGATAAACATAGGTACTACATTCCTAAATTATTTTCCAGTATAGGGTCGCCCAATAACTATAGTCAATAGTGACACAAAGTAATTTTTTTTAAATGACTCTCCCTGTATATTATGACATTTCTGGATTCTGCGGAAAATTCTAGACATTATTCATGTATAATGTCATATATGTACCTATCTTCAACTGTTTCGGAAATATTCATAGTTCAAAATTGACTTTTTTGCATCTTTGACAGACTGTGAAACCTAAACGGTTAATTTTAGAGGAAAACGGTTTTTACATTCCTATCTTAGATTTTTATAAGCTACCATTTGACACCAACTTTGAATTTAACCGAAGATTAATAATTTAGGTGAAATTTTTAATTATGGATTAAATTCAAGATTGGTGCCAAATGATAGTTTATAAAAAACTAAGACAGGAATGTAAAATTCGTTTTCTTGTAAGATTAACCCTTCAGGTTTTACAGTCTGTCAAAGATGCAAAAAAGTCAATTTTCAACTGTGAATGAACTTGAGCTTCAAAGTTGAAATTCTATGTTTGAAATTTAGTCGATATAACAATAAAACAACGTCATCGCGATTTGTTAAGTTTCTGTTTAAAACGAGAAAATGTTTCCGCGATTTGTTACTTCTTTTAAATCAAAATCTATCGAAATTAATCTTAAAAATGTTTAAGTTCACGTTTAACACTAAAACAACATAATGTGAAGCAAATAGTCATAAATCCATTTGGTGTCGTATTTCTGGTTCAAAATCAGAAAACGGTTAAATGTCTTCAAACTGTTTTGCTTTTCTATTGAAATATGAAAGTTGCATTTCAAAGACGCCATCCCCTTGAAATTGATATGCAAGGATGGCGATAACGTCATTGCCGCCATAACTTTGGTCAAATTTCTATGTAAATTGAAAATACAAATTTCTTTTCCCAGGTAACATAGCCAAAACCGAATATTGTGCCGTACAACTAAATGAAGAAAAATACAAAGCATTCGTTTATGCAGTCAAAAACCACTATTGGTACCAAATGTATATAGATGATCTCCCAATTTGGGGCGTTGTAGGAGAAGTAAAGGACAATAACTATTACATATGGACGCATAAGAAATTTGAAATTGGTATGTATGCTTTCAATCAAACTGCAAATTAATATTACAAATAATGTTTTTCTTAGGATATAATGGCAAACAAATTATTGATGTAAATTTGACATCAGAAGACAAAGTCGAATTAACGTCGAGTAAAAAATTAAGTTTCACTTATGAAGTGACTTGGAAAAAGACTGACACCAAATATGAAGATAGGTTCGATAAATATTTGGATCACAACTTTTTTCAACACAGAGTAAGCTTTAAACATTGCGGTATTTATATATTAAACCCGAATAATTCTAGATTCATTGGTTCAGCATATTCAACAGTTTCATGATGGTCATTTTCTTGGTCGGTCTTGTTTCAATGATTCTCATGAGAACGCTAAGGAAAGATTATGCCAGATATAGCAAAGACGACGACATAGACGATATCGAGAGAGATCTCGGCGATGAATATGGGTGGAAGCAAGTGCACGGAGATGTTTTTAGGCCTGCCTCGCATCCCTTATTGTTTTCCGCTATGATTGGTGCTGGGCATCAGCTGACTGTTGTTGTTTTGAGTGTTATTATTTTTGCGATTCTCGGGGAAATGTACACTGAGTAAGAAACTTTTAATTTGCATAATGATACTGTTATAATTTTTCTGGATAAGACCAACATTATAAAAACATATATTTTGTTATACCTTGTGAGTACTTGGAACTGTTTGGGCACCATAAATTCCTCAAGTTTGCAGATACTTTTAGAGATAACGAAAAGTCAATTTGAGACGATATTTTCCAATAATTTTTGTCTTTTGACCAAGAGAGTGTTTTTTTTCTATCTTATCACTGATCCAGATAATCACAAATTTTCCAGACTAATATCAATGATTTTGTTAATTTTAGACGAGGTATGCTACTCTCAACTGCCATATTTGTCTACGCCGTCACCAGTCCTATAAATGGTTATTTCGGAGGTTCTTTGTACGCTCGCATGGGCGGAAAATTATGGATTAGACAAATGGTTGCTTCGGCTTTTATGTTGCCCGTATTTGTATGTGGCACAGCCTTCTTTATCAATTTTATCGCCATGTATTATCATGCGTCTAGGGCTATTCCATTTGAGACCATGGTAAGAATTTTGTTTGATAAAAAAATGCCAAAAGTTAAGATTTATTTTTTTCAAGATTGCTGTTGTTTGTATTTGTACATTCATAATTTTACCGTTGACGCTTGTCGGAACTGTGTTGGGACGAAATCTCGCCGGACAACCCGATTATCCTTGCAGGATAAATGCAGTTCCAAGGCCGATTCCTGAAAAAAAATGGTTCATGGAGCCAGGAGTTATTATTCTACTTGGGGGAGTTTTGCCTTTTGCTAGTATTTTCATTGAAATGTAAGTATATACCTTCAAGATTGATAATTCTTATCAAGAGAATAGATCTATGAAAATTTCAATTCATTTTTGCTTTAGTCTTTGTATTGTAATAATATCGAGATTCATATTGTTATAAACCCGCCACTCGTACTTTTTGATTGCCCCCTGTAACTACAGCTAAAGAAGCCAGAAAATTCGACTATTTTCAAGATGAACTGAATCACAAAAATTCGAGCATGTTAGAGAAGGACGCACATAACTATAAAAGCCCCGGTGCGCACCGCGTAAGGATCAGTTCTGATTGACATACGACAAATGCAGTAAACTATAAAGTCAGGAACTAAATAACCACATTCGAAAATAATCGTGCCGTATAAGCTTTATTTGGAGTAGTTCGGAGTGTAAAGAAGTGTAAAGTTTCGTGTGATTTTTGTTTTATTGTGTTTAATAAAATTCGTTAAAGTTCGAAATTGTCGTCTCACTTATCTGCGAACCCGTATAAGTAACAATATATTTTGTTCTTGATCAATAGCTCTCTAATACATACATACATTGACATAGTGGAAGTCTCACATTTCATCCTACTTTAATGTTAATGAATTGCCGTAATCATAAACCAAATTTGTTTGCTTCCAGGTACTTCATCTTCACTTCCTTTTGGGCCTATAAAATCTACTACGTTTACGGTTTTATGCTGTTGGTGTTCCTTATTTTAATTATCGTAACAATTTGCGTAACGATTGTTTGCACGTATTTCCTGCTAAATGCCGAAGACTATCGCTGGCAGTGGACGTCGTTTTTGGCAGCTGCATCCACTTCCGCCTATGTCTACGTATACGCCATCTACTATTTCTTTTTCAAAACAAAGTAAGTATATTGTTGTTAGTAGACAAATGTGTTGCTCACATATTTAATAAATTGTTTTTTTCTTTCAGAATGTATGGACTTTTCCAAACCACTTTCTACTTTGGCTATATGGCATTGTTCAGCGGCGTCCTAGGTCTTATTTGCGGTACTGTGGGGTATTTAGGCACCAGTATATTTGTCAGAAAAATTTATTCGACGGTGAAAATCGATTGAGGAGTCCAAAAAATAGAAAAAAAAATAATTGGATGTTTTTTACTATTAAATTTTTTTATGTTCCAACTGTGCATATTTTAACTTGAAGCGGAGTTCTAATATGCCATGTTCAGTGTATATATATTTGTTGAAATGTGATTGAAGAGTGAATGAATGAATCTATTACAATCTATTTTTATAATTTTTTGGTGCCAGGACTCTAGAACTATATCTCCCGTGCTGTTTTTACAAATGCTTGTTGAAGTATTTTACAGTTGAAGTCTTTTTTAAAATATCAAGAAAGGTTGAAGTATATTACCAAAACATTTCATCTGTTTGCAAACTTGGGATGAAAATATTAGATTGAAATTTGTCAAGTAAAAATTAAAGAACTCGCCAACTTGATATTCGAGGCTTTTCAGATTCGATTTTTTTTTTCCCTAAAAAGTTGCAAACGTCGGATTGAATTTTTGTCCAAGAATCCTTGCTCTATCCAAGCTATTCAGGCCTATGATGTATCATTTTCCTGTTATTTTAACAGCAACATTATGTTATCTGTCACTGTTTATTCTACACGTAAAAATAGAGACAGGTATAGATTTTGAGCTGTAACACATTAACACAACTGTTAAAATAACAGGAGAGGAAAAATCATAGGCCTGATTATCTATTAATCTTTCCATTATATCTCCAACTTTCTTATTCAAGCCCTATGTTTTTTGGGCCACTTAAGAATAGAATCGCCTATGTTAAATAAATGTGTGGCCAGTTTTAAAGGTGTTTCTATTGTGAGGTGGCAATGTCCTTTGCTTCATGGGATCTGTTTTACCAACTTAATTTTTATACTGAAAAGCTGCATGCTCTAAAACAGATCATATGGACTTACAAATTATGGAAGTATGCCTTCACAATCTTACTATGTTCTTTTGCTAATTTCAAATTATTTTCCATGAATTTTTCAAACCCTATTCCAAGTAAGCACATCACTTATATGGTTGTGACCATTTCCTCAAAGGTCAATTTATTCACTGCATTTTTCTAATGGGAATAATAAAAAAAAATTGTGATTCGTTTTTGTGTCCTTTATTTTAGTATTGTGAATTATTGTGTATCTTTTTTTACTTTATTGCAAATACTAAAAAATTTTGTTACAAAGGGAGGTTATCACCGACTAGTTAATTCTTTTAGCTAAAATTTTGCTTAGAGCCAAATTATGGATCGACTGGTAACGTCTTTGGCAAATTAATCCTGCTGTTAAAACTAAAAATTGAATGCAATACAATGCATGATAAATTTGCCAATAACGTTATCAGTCGGTCCATAACTTGACCACTAATGGTGTTGTTGGTAACTAACAGGGAGTTGCTAAGCGGTGAACCTAACACTTTGTAACAAAAAGTATAATTTGATAATTGTACATAAATTGGGAATTTGAATGATGTTAAAATGTGCCTTCTAATAATCGGGACATATTTTAATATTATTGTTGAATTGTTTCATTTTTTTAAACATTTGTTAATAATACCCAATAGTTAATTATTTAAGTATTAGGAAGTGTAACTTGTAAAGTTAGAAAAATAAAGATTTTAAATTAAATTTTTTTATTTTATTCATTCGACTACCAGAATATTCACGGTATGTAAGTGATTTATAGATTTCCAGTTTCGAATTTTTTAGAGATTGAAGAGGGTCTTTAATAATTTGTGCACTTAAATCTGTTTTTTTTTAAAGATAATTCCCCAAGTCAAAAATTTAGTAACTATGTTGGCAACACAAGCCTTTTCTACATAAAAATTTGAAAGCATTGACAATTTTACATTGTATTGCCAACATAATGTCATTTTGACTTTTATCTTTAAAAAAAAAACAGACTTTATATCCCACAGAACGAGCACAGAACCTTTACAACTGTGTTCCCAGATTTTTTTTTTTTTTTTTTTACGGATATGCGCACTCGCAAGGACAATGTCCTATCACGCTCGAGAAGCGGCAAGTGCGCGGAAATGTCGGTGTATGTTGGTCTTGAAACGGTTCAGGTTGTAACCTGCAGGGAAAACCGTCGCAGGGAGTTTATTCCACAGCGATGCTGTTCTCCAGAGATATGAATTCTGATATAGTGAGGTTCTTGGTGCCTCTAGTTTGACAGTAAATTCATGGTTACCGTCTGTTTGACGCGTTCGCCTGGTAGGTGCTACTCTCGGTGGAATCATACGTGCCAACTCTTCAGAGCATTTTCCGTGATAGTACCTGTAGAAGAGAGATAAATCGCCCACAGATCTGCGATGTTCGAGACCATCCAAGTTACGAGTAAGTGCGGGGTCATTGATCAGCTTGATAGCTCGTTTTTGCACGGTATTCAAAAGCACGACGTGTTGTCCAACTCGGCTTTGCCTCGTTGGACAATTTTCACGTCGCGTGCCTAAAAGACGCTCATTTCGTAACTTATTGTATAAATAGCTATTTATATAATTTTAACCCCCCAAAATAAATTTACCTACGACGCTCATTTTTTTTTTTTGGGCTGCCTCCCTTAAAATAAAAGTCACGGGCCGCCACTGGTTGTGGCCATTGGAATTGGCGCTCTCTCGGCTTGTAAAAAAGTCAGATTTTGATGCAATAGGAGGTGCGTTCAAAAATGTTGTGCCAATTTCAATAACCACGAGTTTACCTTGTTCAACGCTGATGTTCATATCCTCATATTTATTGAGAGTTTTAAGATATTTTGCTCACTTTAGTGGAGGGAATAGAAAGTAATAGAATTTTAAACAATTGTGGAGTACCACAGGGTTCAGTTTTAGGGCCGATATTGTATTTAACACGTTCACTACCGAGCGTTAAAGGGCTGTCATTTGTTATGGACCAAGTATAATATCTTTAAAAGTATTATGAATATTTGAATGATTTTTAGACAGATAGGATCAGTTGGTGTTACTAAATAAAATTCCGCCATTTTGTTTTGAGGCCATTAAATTGGCAACTGGTCTGTGAGTGGTGCTTGACATTAGAATAGACCAAGGGCCATTTCAATATTTTCAATGGCCCTGAACGTAATATAGGAAAATACATCTGATTCGATGAAATATATTACAGAAAAGTATCAGTCTCAGTAACTCATATTTTACTTATTAGTATGTGAGTTTAGGCACTTAATTCAGCAGGAATGCCGTCAGTTCCAGCTGATTTATTGTTCTGTATGTAGCGTCAGAACTGAGCGCAAGCGCAAACCTTGTGAAACCGATGCCCAGCGGAGACGAAAACGAAAGAAAACCTACGTCAAGTCAGTCTGTACCTGATTGCCCTAGCCACCACAACGCTCTGTTTCCTTTACTTGTTATGTCACGACTCGGAAGCTAAAATACTATTTTATATATTGACCAAGTACTTTCATACAGTATAAATAAATGTTATAATTAGCGGGAGTGTTTCATTAACCACTCGAACACAACAAATTGGCGACGAGGATAATTTTATAAAGTCGTGAAAACGTGATCGGGAACGGAAGTAAAAAAAAAGTGTACCAACAAGGCGACCAATCCGGTGGGGCATTTTGCTGAATTTATTCCAGATATCGATGACTGGGTGGTATACTGTGAGCGACTACAGGAATATTTCACAGCAAATAGTCTCGAAGAAGAAAAGAAAGTAGCAACCCTCCTCAGCTTGATAGGCACGAAAACCTATACCTATCCTGTTAAGAGACCTCTGCAACCCTATAGCACCAAACAAGAAGACATTCAAACAGCTGGATGAAGTCATGAAAAGCCATTTCACCAAACAACCAGTTATTTGGCGAGAAAGAAAAAAGTTTCACGAAGCCTCCCAAGGGACACATGAGAGTAGCAGAATGGCATGCGCGGATCTGCAAGATGGCCGTGGAATGTAAGTTTGGCGCTAATTTGGAATTATTTCTTAGGGAAAAGTTCGATTACGGGGCTCAAAGCGGAAAGTACTTTTGACCGCATCTGCGAGGAGGACGAAAATGTTACTTTAAGCAAGGTCCTGGAGTTGGCGAAAAGAAAAGAAAATTTGGCGACCAAGGGCGAAGATGTCAATTTTGCGCGCAAAACTAAGCAAGGTCATTCCAAACCAATGGGATTTGGGCGAGCGAAAGCGATTGGCTACGCTGGCGCGATTGGCAAGACAGGCGCAATAATCTGCGCGACCAACGTCACCGACAAGGCCAAGGACGAAGCGAATTTTCCAATGCTGGTGGGGTGCAAAATGGCGGACATGGTAATAAAAATGTTGGACAATTATTGTGTCGCATCTGCGGAAACAGGCATACAGGTCAGTGTATTTATTCTAATTATGTTTGTTCAAAGTGTAAAAGAAAGGGACATTTAGCCAAAGTTTGCAATCAAAAGGGATTAAACTTTATAGATGACAATTTAGGTTATTTGGAAGCTAATGTCGAACAAGTTCTTGATGAGAACAAAGAAAATATTAAGCCGGGCTCAGACGACTCGTGTATTTGACGAATACACAATTATTCGCGTACTTGGCAAGTATACGAGCTTTGCGAATTGCGATGGCAAGCAGGGCGCTCACACGACGTGTTATAATTTACAAGTACGCGAGCGCGAACATTTGGCTAAACCTTGACAAATTACTAGAGCACAGTGGTGTGGCAGTCAATATGGATATCGGACGTCTAGAAAATCTCGTTGTTGCTTCCGCCGCTTTTGTTGTAATGAGCTTTGCTTATTTAATTAAATTAAAAGCAAAGAAACAGAGAAGAAGAAGATGGTAGATGGTATCATTAAATAAACGTCGAGACACGCATCAATTACTGTATTTCGATTTTTGTGGTCTTTATGTTTCCATCCAAATGACCGGCTCATTTTCATACAAATCGAGAATTTCGTACACAATGTCATTTGTCCACTCCATTTCAATTTTTAGAGATAAAACAAACAAAACCTCTGTACTACGCTTCTGCTAGTCGAAAACTGAATGAAATAGTCGCAGTAAAACCCAATTATTTGTTCATTTCGTTTGAGCGCCTTTTCAAGTATAGACAAGTATGAGCTTCGCAAGTGTACGAATAATCGTGATCCCTTTGACTCGGGACATTTTTACCGACAAGAAATGGAAAACCAACGAGTGACAAATAATTGTACAAGTAACTCACTCAGACGACATGCCAAGTATACGCAAGTAACGATTATTCGCCAAGTACACGAGTCGTTTGAGCCCGGCTTTAGAGATGTATGGACTTTGAATAATGCAACAGGTACAGACTCAAATAAATGTTGTAATTGTAAAAGGAAATGTTGTAATAATTGTTAATAAAAAGTATGTCCAAGGTTATGTTAATGTTTGTGATATTTTAAATAAGAAAAATAATGATGGTGATATTTTTATAAATAAAAAAAAAAAAATGATTGTGATATTTTACCACATAAAAAGAATAATGTTTGTAATGTTGATTTTAGGAATTTTAGGACGAGTCATAAAGGGGCGACGTCAGAGGCGAAGGAGCAAGAGAGAGATTTACAGTGGATTTATGTGTTGATAATTGTAATTTGAAATTTCAGATTGACTCTGGTGCATCTATTTCTGCTATAAATGAAAAGGTTTTTTTTAAATAAATTAAGTCACTATAAATTAAAAATAGATGACACTATTTTAAGGTCATATGATAATAACATTTTTAAACCACTGGGATTTATTGAAGTGGTAGTGAGATTTCAAAATAAATGTAAAAACATAAAATTCTATATTGTTTCTAAAGCCGATGTATGTATTGTAGGCCGTGATTGGTTGGATGCATTTGAAGTTGGATTCGGGCTAGACAACAAGATCTCCAGCCAGGGGATAGGCTCCTTACTGGTTCAGGAGTTTCCAGAAGTATTCGAAGAGGGACTCGGGGAGTTCCGACATGCCGAAATTAAGCTTCACCTTAAGGACAATGCCACACCCATCTTCTGCAGACCGAGACCGATGCCATTTGCATATAAGAAATTAATGGAAGTAGAATTGGAGAATATGGAAAGGAATGGAGTTATTACACCAATAGAAACTTCAGAATGGGCGACCCCACTGGTACCTATATTAAAGGAAGAGAGTTTGCGTCTGTGCGGGGACTATTCTGTCACAGTGAACAAATTTCTACAAGAATCAAACTACCCCTTACCACTTATTGAAGAGATTTTTGCAAAGCTCCATAAGGGTCAGACTTTTTCTAAATTGGATTTGGCTTTCGCTTATAACCAGTTCAAGTTGGATGAGGAGTCGAGAAAGATTGCCTGCATAACAACACCAAAAGGTCTGTATCAAATGAATAGATTACCCTTTGGACTTACTGTTTCTAGTTTTATTTTTCAAAAACATATTGAAAATATATTTAGGGGCGTAGAAAATGTTTCTTGTTTCTTGGATGACATTTTGGTAACTGGTGCCTCAGAGACAGAGCACATTAAAACTTTGAAAAGTGTTTGTAAAAAATTAAGGAAGGCTGGTTTGAAATTAAAAGTAAAAAAATGTGAATTTTTTAAAGAATCGGTCGAATATTTGGGTTTTAGAATTACATCTAAGGGCCTCATGAAGGCAGAGGATAAGACTAAAGCAATTGTGGAAGCACCGAGACCTCAAA